CAATACCTTGTATGACATTTACGTTGTTCTAGTTGGCGACTGAGAATAAAATAACGAATGGATATTCTCCCAGTTCAGTCAGACTCCAGGTTAACTGAGCTTTTTCTTATATCAAGAGATAAATAAAATAAAAATCAGTTTCAGATTTTATTTACTGTTTCCAGGAGTTCTTTTGTACTTAATGCCGCCAGCCTCTGGATCAAGAAGCAGTAGCTGCAAAGGCATTGGTGTTGCAGTATTTTTGGAAGCAATCGTTTCGAATCTCTCAAGATGTGCTGTTCTTCATGGGACTTCCAATTCAATACAACAAATCTGAGGTGTTTTATAGAACCTTAGGACCTAAACACGCTTGCTTGTGTGTGTGCGTGTAAGATAAAGAAGAAGAAAAAAAATTTTGGTTAGGTCAAGTGGGAGAAAACCATAAGACAATCAGCAGCTCCATTAAGCACAGTAATGCAATAGTTTTACAAATATTGTAAAAATATTTTTCAGCATTCAGAATCTATTTTTTCAGGATGTTCTTAATAAACAGACCTCAGCCACCACTGGGAATTAAATTTTATTAATTTCAAAGGCAAAAGTAAAGTTACAATTTTAGGAGAACGCATAGCAGTAGGAAGAAAATATAAGCATTAAGATTGTCTACTGTGGAACAATTCAGGCTCTAAAAATGTTGCAGACTTCATTGAAACTGCATTTAAAACTTCATACATTTCTGAAGGCTTTTTTTTTTTTTAATTTAGTAGGATGCTAATTCATTTTTATAGCATCCTACTACTCATGGAAGATATGTTCTCCATTTATCAGTACTTCTTTGCTAATAATTTCAATGAAGTGCTACATATCAACAATTATAGTGAACGATGAGATAAAGTATTTGTTTAAAATTATGTAATTTACTTATTTATATTGAAGAAACTCCATAAGGCACTTGAAAGGCAACCCTGTGTAACTGAAATCCTCTAACTGCAAGATGGCACTGGGCACACAATGCCATTGAATTGAATAGAATTTCTCCCTCCTTAGCACACGTTTGGAGAACTTATTTTACAAGTTAGGGCAAACTGATCATAAAAGAACGATTTCAGAGGGTGTCCCATAGGCAAAAGTAGATAAATACTAAATTTCTGTAGCTGATAACCTTTCATTCCTG